TGAAAACTTCTCCGAAAAACTACTCCATCTTCATAAACCCAGTGACTTTCATTTCCTTATTCACGGCCACATTCTTCGTCCTTTTCTACAGCTTGTGGCAGCCATTTCTCTTCGGCAACCACGCCAAAATCGAGCAGGACAAAAATGTAACAAATATTAATTTTAAATACCCTTTTTTTTGCCCCTTTTTTCGTTAGGTAATAAATGCGATTAATTAATTATCATTCTTTAATTTGCTTTTTCCATTTTTTTTGTTCCTAAACAGAAATTAGTTGTGAAAGATGAGCTCCAGATAGCCTTGGAGAAGGCCTCGACGGCGGAGGGCAAAACGGTAATTATCTCCGTGGTCAACTCGGCCTACGCGGAGCCGCAGGATGAGGTGGGCCCGGCCATGATGGATCTATTCCTCGAGGGGTTTTGGGCCGGGGAGGGGATCCGGCCGCTCGTGGGCCGTTTACTGGTGGTGTCTGTGGACCGGGAGGCCCATGAGAGGTGCCTGTTTCGTGGGCTGAACTGCTATATGCTGGCGGCGGATGACGTGGATGGCGGCGGAGGCGGTTTAGCCGGGGAGAAGGAGTTCATGTCGAATGGGTTTGTAGAAATGATGTGGATGAGGACTCGTTTCCTATTGGATGTGCTCAAGAGGGGATTTAGCTTCATATTCACGGTACGTTTTCATACGATTTTATGTATTTTTTTTTTTTTTGNTTGTGGAAGAGTTTGGTATATAGTAAATTGTGCTTATTTAATGCAGTTGATATATAGCTAAATGTAATAAATTACATTGGTTAAAATCTAAAACTGTGCTTATTTAATGCAGTTGATATATAACTAAGAGCATCTCTAATGTTTTAATGTTGTCGCATAAATTTTGACAAATTTTAATAAATTAAATTGATTGTGAACCATGTAGGATAAATGTAAAGTCTACAACTATGAAACTAAAAATTTATCTCCAATGCACAATGTGATCTAACTATAATATTATCTACTTACCAAATATGAAAATATTATAATATGTAGTACAAAAATTAATTAAACAATTAAATAGTTTGAAATAGGTAAGAATAATTCTCTCTCTTCTCTTCATTGCCTAGCTAGAGTGTGGATGAGAATGTGGATGAACCACGTTCTTGTCTACATTGTTGACATTAATTGTGTCCACATAATCACAATATTTGTGATCACATTGTGCATTGGAGGATGAAAAGTTGTGACATTGTTAAATATGTTGATGTGGAATGTAATTTACCACAACAACATTTGAGCATTGGAAATGCTCTAAAATGTAATAAAGTTACATTGGGTAAAATATACTAGTATTCGTGTGACAGAGACAAATATAAATTTATATTTTATACATATTTATACGATATTTAAAATTTTAGATTAAATAATGGATGAATTGCATTTTAATTTTTTTGACTATATATAAAATGTACAATATAAATACAAATTATTTAACTTACATATGAATCTGATATTGATGACATAAATTTTAATAGACAGAGTAATTTTATAATTTATTGGGGCCATACAATTAATTAATTAGAAAGGTATTACAATTATTTTTATATTATTGTAGCACATTGCAATACAATTTCTTATAAGTATGTAACTTTCACATATAAATTTATAATTAGTTAGTATTAGTAATAATTATTATGTAATAAATTAGTTTAAAATTATTATCATATTTTGTTAATGTAAAATGTAACAGTTCTAAATTAATTGAAAAAATGAGCATAATTACCTATAGATATTTTATTAATTATTTAAAGGAGCAGAACGATATTATTTGCCCGCAATTAGTGGTGCGATTTAGGGAAAAAATCATTGACGTTATATTTTGTGATCAGATTTTGGTGTTGACTGTTAGAATATAGTGTCCCTTGATTAATGGTGCTACAATTTGACAATTAGCACAATGTTTTCAGATACAACTAGACTTGAGCAGTAAACCGAATTGCGAATAGGTGAAATAAGTAATTAACTAAAAAAAATGAAATCATATTCTATCATACACACATACTTAAGAATAACATGAATAAATTATTTATATAATTTTTTTTGTAACTTATTCGAAGACCCACTTGTACCGGTTCGGTCTGTATTTAAAAAAAAAAATACTCTTTAGCATCAACATTATAAATGTATTTTATGAGAAATTTTTAAAATTTTTGAGTGTTAATTTTTTCTCCACGTTGTTTATATAATAAATTTCATCATAACACCAATTATTCGTTAAATAACTTCACTATTATTAAATGTACGAGTAACTACTTTGTGGATTTTTCGTACCAATTAAGTTGCATAATTTGCAAATATGTAACCTTATAT